TGTCTTTTCTCTGGCAGCTGTCCAGGGCCCTTTTCTTTGTGCCTACTTCTGTCTACCTGCCCAGCTGCCTCTTGCACCCTTTTTGTCGCCCAGCGGCCAAGAGAACTTAAAGGTCATGGCTGTTGGCCCCCGCTGAAGGTCTCTGGGCTCCGCGGCCTCAAACACAGTTCCGCAGGCCTGGCTGGAACGGTGGGAGCTGGAGATTTGCAAATGCTCTTCCCCTAGAGGAGGGCATTTGCAAAGGGGAAGTGGTTCCTGAAACTTTCAATTCTCGGGCCAGGCGCGATGGCTCACGCCTGTAATCCCAGCAATTTGGGAGGCCGAGGCGGACGGATCACTTAAGGTCAGGAGTTCGAGACCAGCCTGACCAACATGGAGAAACCCCGTCTCTTTTTTAAAAAATAAAAATAAAAAAAGAGAAACTTTCAATTCTCTTTCAGTATGAGATAGCTTAGGACAAGGTGGCAAATGGCAGAAGTTCCAAGCCCCAGTGGATGAAAGCTCCATATCATTTTGATTAGAAACAAAGAGACCTTGCATACTCCTTGTCTGCACAGGCAAGTACAGAAGATGTAGGGACTGAGTGTTGAGGCCTGCCTGGTCTCAGTCCAAGAGTTCCCAGCACCTGTGAGCTGGTGCTTGGTGTTCCAGGAAGTCCAGATGACAGTATCCATTCAACCTTGTGGAACAAGAACTTGTTTGTCCTTTTGTCTTGTCAGATACCCAAGTCTATTTCAATGCCTCCCCCTGCATTACATTTTTGGTTGGTTGTATAAGAATGGTAGATGATGGCTTCTTAACACTTTTGGGGGGTCACTCCCTGATATGATAGTTTAAATTTTGATGAACAATGTTGATTCCCCTCTGCCCAGAAAAAAAAAATGCACTTATTTAGTACTCACCAAATCCCACAATTTCAGAGCATTTCAGACTCTTCAGACCCCAAGTTAAGAACTACAGTTTGGATTGATCAAAGGAGCTGGTGTCTGGGAAATGCCAAGGCCAAATATAGCCAATTTATGTAGCTCTTCACCTTTTCTCTTGGCTCACATCTCCTTTTTGCCAGGCCAACCTTCACCTTTAAAAACACTCCCGTGGCAGTGTCCTCTCCCCACTATTACCTATAGGGTCTGGGCTCCCAGAGGAGTCAATCTTTCCTTCCCAGCAACTGGGAGCCTGAGAACATGGGAAGAGCTTTGCTGGGGAAAGCTGATCTTGGACTGGCCAGTGGTGGGACCAGCAGTGGAAGGAAGTCAGGCTTGAATAGCTTCCCAAGGACTAAAAACCATACCAGAACTCCTGAAGGGGAGACTATCTGGAAACAGCTTCCTAACTAAAGCTGACTGTGAGCCAAGTGAATGGGGACTGGGCAATAGAATGCTCCTTTGTGTCTCTTATTGACTCACTTATTCCATTTTCTCTGGCACCCCAGCTCTTCTTGGGGCTGATTTAGCCAAGGTTAGAGGCTGTCGAATACCAAATGCTGAACTAAAAGGGGAAGGATTCGTTCCCAATATTTTAGTAATCTTGTTTGTAAGAACAGCATGTGGCCCCTGACTATCCTGGGGGACCTCCTAATAACGCCCAGCCTCATGGGTTGTGGCTTGTTTAGATGCAGAGAGTAAAGAAGGACCTAACTCTTCTTCCCTAGCCTATTAAGTTTCCTGGCCATCTCCCCACCTGTGTGAATTGACCAAGCTAGATCTCCCAGGAGAAAAATCAGGCTTCCTTGGGGTCTGGGAAGTAAACAAACTTTCTTTTTCTAGGACTAGTAAGAAAAATTAGGAGAACTGGAAATTATCTGGCTAATTGTACCCTGCCTCTCCACATTTATTTACACTCCAAACCCAAGCCCTCCTGGCTGCTCCTCAATTGTCTACACATTTCAAACAAATATGACTTGGCACAGGAAAGACTTTGCATCATTTCTAGTTGCCTCTGTCTGCGCTGCACAACCACCATCTACCTGCCCAGCAGTTCCAGGCTGTGACAAGAAGCCAATGGTTGGCTAATAGTATTCACACCCCTGCCTGAAAATAAAAAGAAAAAAAAATAAACAATTTTCTTAAACTGGATAATCCTGGCTGTGAAAACCTGACCTAAATGCTTTTAATCAGAGCAGAAGAAATATATGCTCATTTGCTCCCTACTTTACTAATTAAAGAAAGCTAATTGGTGTTCTCAGAAACTTCCGACTGAGGATCAGGAGCCTCCAGTCATGTTTGCCTGCCCCACCCCTCCTTGCACTGGGGCGTTCGAACCACCGTGGAGTTGGCCTTTTTCTGATAGACAATTGGAAGGGGGTGCTTCCGACCTTCTGGCTCCACCCCTGCACTAGGACTTTGGCCCTGAAAAGGCAGTGCTGCTATTGGCCAGAAGTTCTTGCCCAGCAGGCTTGACCCCCTTCTTATGTCCCTGGGCTTGTTTCTAGGAGCCACGACCTCTTGCTGGCTGCCACATCAGCACTGCCAACTGGTGGGGTGCAGCCCTGCTGAAGCCCCGAGCTCAGCCCAGTGCTGGGCACACAGTAGGCGCTCAGGAAATGATTGCTGAATGTGGGATGAAAGTCCCCAACAGGCAAAAGCATGTGACTTCTTTTAGTGGGGTGGTGGTCCTCTGGGGAGAGTGCATGGAGAACTTCAAGGCCTCCTCCTGGCTGCCCAGGAAATGGGTAAAACCTGGTTTCCTCAAGCATTTCTCAGATGTTCTGTTTAATTCCAGCTTCCTGGCCCCCTATTTCTTGTCTAACCATTTTTTAAGGCAGGACCATGCTCACTGCAGCAAAGGGAAAGGACTCCTTGAAAAGCCAAAGAAATACAAGCCACCACTTCCCAGACCTTTCCCCTATGAGATCCAGATACCTCAGGCTACAGGGAGTTTGAACCTGAAATGAGCCAGATAAATGCCCCAGTTCTCTGTACCTTGTTGAAAAGGTAGTTACAGGCCAAGGGGTCCAAGGGGCCTCACCTTTATAGACATTGCTCCTGGTCAAAAGAATACATTATACATATATGGCTGAGACACACACCCTGTGTCCTAGGCTGGTTCTCTGAGAACAAAGCAGGTTTCCTCTTTGCCACTCACCCCCACCCCCCATTCCTGCTTTCCTTCTCTTTTCTCTTCTTCCTTCATGTTGTTTTTAATAGTTCCTATTTACTAAATGCTGCCTGTGCACCAGTATTGTGCTAAATGCCAAACACATTTTGCATCATAGTACGTTCGTTAATCCTTACATCAACTTTAAGAGTTAAGACAACAGATTTTGCAGATGCAGAAACCAAGAGTTACTTTTCAAGCATGAAACCCATGTGTGTGTATGAGTGTGTGTGTGTATGTGTGTGTGTGTCTGTTGTGTGTGTCAGAGAGAGAGACTGGCAGATCTGAGTGCTCAAGTGTTATAAAGACAGAAATAAAGAAAATTGAGAATGAAGAGATCTTAGTTTTGAAATATGGAATGCTTTAATAGAACACAGATAGTTTCTCCTGCCCTAAAGTGAACAAAGAAGTGAGGCAATTAACTGGCTAATTCCGAGACCCAAATGCTTTCCCTTGAAATGGGCGGATAATGAGGCTGACAGTATGCTCGCAGTTGAATTTGCCTGATGTTGCTCCATTTTTTTCCCCTAACTTTAGCGAATCCATTGGGCAATCACAGTGAGATGCACAGACGTTGCCCCGGACGTGCACATATCCACACACACACTCACACACAGGAATGCTGACACACACATACCCAACTTTATTCTGCCTCTAGAGTCTTTTATGACTCAGCCTCAGGAATGAAAATAGGGGTTGGAGTGAAATAATGTGTCCGAGGGCACAGCTGCTCCAGATGTGCACTGGGTAATTAGGCACCCTCAAGAGCTCCAGCCCGGCTGGGAAACGAACTTCTCGTGGGACTGCAGACCCCAGCAGGTGCCCCTGTCATGGTCTGCCGCATTGTAGGTGCCTGTCCTTTGCTGCCTGGTCCCAGCAGCCCGTCCCCCCTCTTCTTCCCTTCCTCCCCCTCAGGTGATTCTCTGGCACCTCTGTTTTAGGAATAACTTTGGAGAGATGCCTCTCAGAGGGCTCTGCAGCATAAAATGGCATCTCTGCCACGGGGAAAGGGGAAGAGGGGCCCTGGTTTCTCCTATCCTGCTCTTTCTAGGCCCCTGATGTCTCTGAGGGGCTGGTTCCAGAACAAGGCCTCTCTTTTCTTGCCCCACAAGAATGTAACAAAGAGGCCCTATTTGGGCCAAGAAGGAGAGTGGCCTTACTGGCAGCCCTAACCCGCCTTGTCTGGGGGGCTGTGGAGCAGTCCTGTGGCCAGCGGCTTCTCTTAGTTATTGGTTGAGCCTTTCTCACAAACTGTTCACACTTCACAGCTTTCCCGTCCAGTAGGTCTTCATCTGGGCCCCTGGGGCCTAAGGCACTTGGCCAGGGTCTCAAAGCTAGGGAGATCATAAGTGAGGAGTTGGCATTTCTTGGAAGAGATGGGGCTGGATTTGTCCTCAGAATCCTAGCCCAGCGCCCCTGTATCCACCTCCAGTTTTCTTATGCACCTCCCCAAATTTGAAATCAAAGAAACGCCAAACTTCCAACATAGAAAACACCAAAAACCTGACTTTCTGGAGATGAATTTTGCTTATAAGAAAGACACGTTTTGAGGGGTGGAGGGTCATGATAATTTGGGATAAAGAGCATCCTGCTTGGAATAAAGGGCTCTTTCTCCAGCCCTGCTTCACCACTTTTAATAGCTACTCTGATCTTGGACTAATCACTTTATTCCTTCGGACCTCAGTGTCTTCTTTTGCAGGCTGGGGGAGGGGGTTAAAGATGCTGGCGCTGTCCTCTAGCAGGCTACTGGGGAGATCAAAGGAGATTCGGGCTGTGGAAGGCTCCCTAGCGTCGGAGACGGGGTTAGGAGGTAAGGGCCAGGGGGTGGGGGCGGATGGGGACTTGATTAGCTGTGGATTTCTATCCCAGTGCACTCATTTAACCGTGTTTCTCTTGCTTGGCAGAGGGCGCCAAAGGCGACTTACGGGCGGCCAGCTCCAGGCCGAGCCCAGAGCGCCTGCAGGAACCTGCCCCTTCACCCGGCGCGGGACGCAGAGCTGTGCCAGAATCTTGTTCAGCGCGGACTCAACGCCAGGGCGCCGCCTAGAGGTCGGTCTCTGTCTCGGCCTCACCCGCCGGGAGACCACAGAGCTGCTTCCCCAGCCGCCCGCCGCCAGAAATTGGAAAAAAAAAAAAAAAAAAAAAAAAATCCAGCTGGGGTCTAGGAACTCGGCTTCTGGAACCTCTGACTTCTCCGAGACTGCCTCCTCCCTCCCCGACACATAAGGAACCCCTTTAAGGGAGACGGGCTAGGAAGTCCCAGAAATATTTATTCTTGTGACTCTTCACAAAATGGAAGAGGGTCTCAATTCTGGTTTCTTTAAGGATCTTGTGTTTTGCGTCTGTGTCTACGCTGCCTCCTCTTAGCATCCAAATTGTCCAGCCCCGCGCCCCACTCCAATTGCACTAGAACTCTGTTTTATCTTCAATGAAGAAAGAGAGCAGGGAGAAGCTGCCTCTAAACCCTCCAGCTTAGCCATCAATTTTCGGAATAATTTGGAGATCAACATGCTTTTGGAAAAGTGTTTGGAAAACGTTTGGGAGTGAAAAGAAACGTTGCCTAAATGGCCTTTACTCACTGAGTGACCATCATCTCAGCTAGTGTATGAGCAGCACCAGCACCCCATCCATGGGTGCCTGTGCTGAGCCTGTGAAAGTTGACTTCTTTGGCGTGCCCTCGGAAGGACACAGCTGGTATCTATGGGAACGGCTTTGGGGTGTCCTTTGGCACCAAGCGGAGAGTTTTATTTTTTTTAACTGGAATCCATGGCCTGGGTTCTTCAGATGGGGTAGGGGAAAGCCACAAAGCCCCTGAAATGTATGCAAAACATATGGGTGTGCAGGTGCACCATCCTAAGGCTATGGCCTCCTCAGTTTTCCCAAAGACTCTAAGACTATAAAAGGTTTCCTTCTCCTTTCCTTAGCCAGGGAGCCACAGAGACCCAGGCCATCAATAGTCTAGGAGCCAGCACACTGGCTCCCACCAGGTGCCTGGGAGGCGATGGGTAATAACACTCTTGAATGGTCTGTAAACTGCTGGCCCCTCAGTCCTGCCCTCCTCCCAGAGGGAAATCCTGATAGAAGGAGTGATAGCCAGTAGCTGGCATCTCAGTATTTTGAATAAAAATATAGCATGATAAAGAGCAAATGCGGGAGGCTGGAGGGCCTCCCCAAGCAAATCCTGGAATATGAATATTGGCCAGAAATAAGATAATTCCAGCTGTTAAAGAGCACCTCATTTCCTTCTTCTTGGTGCTAGGAAGGGGCCAGAGAACACTCCCCACAAAACCATCACCCACCTCTGGAGAGCTGGGGCAGAGCGGAACTGCCTCCAGCAGAGTCAGCCTTTCAGAAAATTCAAGAACGGTACTGCCTAGTATTTTCCCTGCCAGTTTAATTTTTTTTTTAATCAAATTTTAAAAATCTCCAGCAGCACTTTGGTGCCTTTTCTTGGGGTGAGGGTGTGGAGTTGGCTGGGTTGGGGTTGCACCTGTGTGTATCTATGGGAAGGGGTGTGCCTTCAGTGCACTAAACCCCCTCCTGGGCCCACAGCTGGACCTCACTCATGTACCTGAACACCCTGCCTGAGACTGAGCTAATCTGAGCCATCAATTGTGTCTTAGACCTGAACGCCTGGTGTTTTGGGGGTGAATAACTGTGAGGCAGGATGAAGAACCTTTTGCTCTCCCACCCAGAAGGGCACCTAACCAGGCTACTGTAGCAGACAAAAGGAGCAGGAAGTCGATTATTTCTCTCTCAGTTCTCTGAAGCCCAAGATGAAAAGGGATTTTCCTTCGTTTTGGTTCACAGAGGCCTAGTAGAGAATTTGGATTCCACGAAGTTTTGAAAAATGTAAACGATCCAGAGCAGACAAGAACTATGGAAACTTGAGGCCTGGGTAGCAGTGGTTTTGTTTGATTTTGAGGCTTTAAAGGAGATGGGGAGACGGTGGTGGAACTTCCACACGCAGCACTAAGCAGTGTGGCTGTCACTTTCACTCCGAGGAAGACTGACTGGTCCCCAGGGTTGGTTTCTCCTCTGGGAGCCCCCAGCCCACTCAGCCCCCTTCAGGCCTTGGGAGTCACCCCAAGTCTTATCTTCTGTCCTCTTCTAGCAAGTACCTGGTAATAAACGGGCAGGGCTGGGCAAAGGTCTGGCTGCTAGAGACAGAAAAGTAAAGAGAAAAGAAAAATTTAAAATACAAAACAAAAAACCCCTTGGGCTGGGTGCGGCGGCTCATGCCTGTAATCCCAGCACTTTGGGAGGCCGAGGCAGGCGGATCACAAGGTCAGGAGTTTAAGACCAGCCCGGCCACCATAGTAAAATCCCATCTCTACTAAAAATACAAAAATTAGCCAAGCATGGTGGCGGGTGCCTGTAGTCCCAGCTACTCGGGAGGCTGAGGCAGGAGAATCGCTTGAACCCGGGACGTGGAGGTTGGAGCGAGCCGAGATTGCGCCACTGCACTTCAGCCTGGCGACAGAAAAGCGGTACTCTGTCTGAAAAACAAAACAAAAACAAAAAACCCGCTTTCAGCGGAAAGATGCAAAAAATGGAGGCCACCGGGAGTGGTTGGGAGAGCCCGGGCTTTTGCGAGGAAGCTCCAGGGCGCCCAGCTCTGCTTTGGCGAGGAGCGGAGAGCCTCATCCGGAGCCTGGCGGGCCGAGCCGATCGTAGGGTGTGTGCGGGGCTCTGTGGATTTTACGTGTAGGCGGCGGTTTCCAGTCTCTGCCTGGCGCGGGCTGGGTCAGCGCCGACTCCTCCGAGAGAAGAGCGCGCCTGGCGGCCGGTTCCGCGGAGGCCAAGGCCCGGGGGCCGGGTCTGCTTCTCTCCACGCGGACAAAGTGTGCGGGCAAAGAAAGGGGCCGAGGCGGGTGCTTTTGCCGCTCGTAAATTTGTTTCCTCTTCCTTTTAATCCGCTCCCGGACGTCTTTCTTTTCAGGACAGGAGGGGATGTAAACCGTTTGAAGTTCATCAACACGGTGAAGTTTTATTGTATTTCCGGTCCCCAAGATTTATACCCGGGAGGGGGAGCGGGCGGCCAGGCCGACTCCCTCGCTACCTCGGACTTCTCTGCGGGACACGTGGCCACTCGGACCCTCGCTTAGGGGTGAGGGCGGGAGGGAGCCGGGACTGGGCCGCGGCCGCTGGCTCCGCACGTTCCGACGGCCGCACGGCCGGCCGCCACCGCCCAGGTAAGTCAGCCTCCGCCCGCGGCCTGCGGCAGCCACGGTGCTGGAATGGGTGCGGGGGTGAGCGTGAGCACCTGTGAGCAGGCCGGTGTCTGGAGAGGCAGGGGTGAGGAGAGGGCACGTTAGGGGGCCAAAGACCCAGACCAAAGGTCAGGAAGGAGGAAGCAAATTGGTTCTCTGCGACCCAGTCCCAGTCCTTAGACTCCTGCTCTGCGCAGGTTCGAAATGGATTGTCTTACCTGGGGCAGTTCGGCCTCTGCAGAGGCAGGGCCCTGGGACATTTTGGGCAGGGTGCCTTCACAGCAACGATTCACATCAACCGGCTTTCCCCTCCAAATCCCATTCTCCTCTGTTTGTTCCCTAGAATTCCCGATACTTTCTGACACTCTGCTTTTACGCCTCCCTGTCACTTTCTCTCTCAGCACTTTCTCAGCACTCTTTTGCCCCACTCTCCGGTCTGCGCCCCAGTCTCAAAGCTGGAGCGAGATGTAGGACTTGAAGATCTGGCCTCTCAGAACTACAGGGGGAGGCTGGGTGATCTGGAATGCAGGGGCTGGCCGGTTGCTGAGTGTAGATGCACCTTCATATCGGTTTGAAGTTGAGAATTCTTTTTATCTGTGGAGACCCCCAGCTGGGCTGAGAGGCAGAGACCCGCGCAGGTATATCAAAGAGACCCTGCCCACGCCTATGCCTGTGACTAAGATCTTCTTCTCTGACCAGGGCTCCTGGAAGGGAGCAAAAGTCTGGAATCTGAGCTCTCAGGACCAGGACCGGCTCCAAAATGGTTTTGCTAGAGTCCTGGGTTCAGTTCTTCCGATGTGTTGCTTAGTAGCAACTGGCTTCTTCTGTTGGGGAAGAGGTGGAGAAAAGTTAAGCCGCTTTTTGGCTCACACACCAAAAAAAATAATAATAATAAAAATAAAAATAAAAAAATAAAATAGCAACAGGTTCTGCCCCCAGTGAGCCCTTGACCTAGAGCTTGAACTGGAACTGCTGAGTGAATTAGGTAGTTTCATGTTGTTGGACCTGGGTTTCTGAACACAACAACATCAAACCACCCGATTCACGGCAGTTACTGCTCCTCGCTTGGCTGGAGGAGTGGGGGGAGGGGAGCAGAACCAGGATCAACCTTGCAAAATGGGAAAGAGGTTTGAGGTCCTTCAACCAGGAGCAGGAAGAATGGTCCCCAGAGAAGAGATCTGGGAAGTGTCTTCCCACTTCTGAATGAGGCGTGTGTGTCTGTCTATCTGTGTGTGTCTGTGTGTATCTGTGTGTGTGTGTGTGTGTGTGTGTGTGTGTGTGTGTGTGGTGTTAGGAGGGAAAGGGGGATGAGGAGCAGTCAGCTCCCCCAAGCACCTTGCCCTTGTTGAGCAGTTTAGCCCAACCCAAGGATGGCAGTCAGAGCTCCAAGCTTCCAGTCTTAGGGTTTCCCAGCTCTCACCTTCATCCAGAACTTTCCAGAGAAAGTCTCCCCAACTTCACAAATACTTGATTTCAACAGAAACACAGGGGGTTCTTGAGGTTTTGTAACTCTTTGGGGGCTGGTGCTTCACTTCAGCAGGAAGCTTCAGGTCCTTGAAGAGGGCTCAATAGTTCTCACTCTGAAAGGCACACATCGGGATCTCTTGCAGTCTCAGCCCAAAGCTCTCAGGGTCCTGTTGAAGGCCCCCTAATGGGACCCGACCTACAGAAGTAGGTCAAAAAATCCTTCCTTTCCTAATCCCTCAGTTGACTCTTTCCTCCCCACCCACCACAGTGGCCAAAGCCTTCCCGCTGGCCTTAGGCTGGGCTAGGGGTACACATAGGTCCTGAGTGCCACCCCCTCAGAGAGGGACCTGACTTTCAAGTTAATGGGGAGCCCAGGTTGTTGGACAATTCAACCCCGACTTATGTAGTGACAAGTGATGGAGCCAGGGGTTGGGCAGGGCGAGACTGTGATACCCTCTCTGACCCCAGTCCTCTTAAGGCTGCTGGCTCTGTGCCCAGGAAAGGAATAACTAGAAGTGCTGGTGGAAGAAGGGGGACGTTCCAAAGCATAAGCTAACTTTTGTTCCCAAATATTCCCTCCACCCCCCGCCTGCTTGAGGCAGAGGAAATGTGCAAAGGGGCCTGGGAAAGAGGCCCGACCGGATGGGGCTTCGGAGCCAGGCTGCCTTGGAGGGCCAGGGGGTCTCTGAACAAGGGGCCTCTGCTAGAGCAGAGGGGCGTTAGGGAGACCCACCCCTCACCTAGGGGAAATGCAGCCTTCAACCCACTGTCCTGATAAGCAAAGGCCAACAACTCTGTCCCTTGACAGTTTCTCATCCTCTGGTCTGGGTGGAGACGGCCTGGTGTGTCCCAGAGGCCTTATCTCAATTCTCCCTGGGCCTCTCACAAACCTGCCGGGTCACTCGGAGCCTGCCTGTCTTCCATCCCTGGTGTTCCTTAGCCACCCCCTCTCAGCAAAAGTGCTGTAAAAAGAAAAAAGGGGGATGTTAGAGAGAAAGGAGGAAATAAAGTCTTTGGAAAGCAGAGTTTTACAACAGCCACAGGTTTTATGGAAGCAATTTCGTAATAACCTTCTACCTGCTCGCCTTCTTTCCGCCTGCCTGCCGCCCACCCCGTTTGGCCTCCTGGATGCCCCCTTCCAAGGAGTCAGCCACCCCCACCGCCTTGGATATCCTTGATGGCTGAGAGTTGGTAAGGAGATTCCTGAGGTCGGCTTGGGCCACTGACCTCTCAGTCCTTCCTTTCACCTCTAACATCCTGGGAGGGAGGTTTGGCAGAAGATTTCGTTACTTCACAGTTAAGATCCCCACTTGAAGGGTGTGGAAGCACCGAGGTTTGAACTCGAGTGTGCAGATTCGTTGTGATGCCTGTTTGGGAAGCCGTTTTGCATAAATGGTAAGGATTCTGGGATCTTCTGTCTTTTCCCACTGGAGTAAGTGTCCTCATGCCTCACTCTTTCCCAGAGTGGGTCTGGACTCTGATCTTGAGTCAGAAGAAAAACCTCTGGTGCTTGGGGATATAGCTTTGGGGGCTTACTTAATTTTGTTGTACACAGCAGTGTTTTTGTTTGACCTCCACAGTCACTTTCACACTCAGCTCATCTCTGTCCGCCTCTGCTTCATACTTCTGTGAGACACATGAGCTCATAAGTAACTATGCCTCCACCCCCGCGCCCATCGCTATCATGAAATAAGCATCACACAATGCACACCATCCCTGTGGTTTTGGGTAATAAACACAGTAAAGGATTTTAAGAAGTCACAAAATTTCTTAACCTCTTCTGGCCCAATTTGAGGCATTTCTTTTACCTTCCAGAGAAACATTTTGGAAAGAAGTTGTAGAATCAATCTAGTGTTAAGTCATGCACATTTGAGGATACACTGTACATTTTGCTTGACTATCAAGTCAAGGGACAGATTTTCAAATGAGCCATCCGAATTAGGTAATATTTTATAGCCACAATTCAAGTACATAAAAACCCAAGCTTTTGCCTTCTCCATAGGTATGTGATGGTTATAAAAATGTACACACAAGCTTTTCGGTAACTGATCTTCTTCTATGAGCAAAATCGTAAACCTCCATCACTCACAGGGGTTATGCATGCGTCCACATGTGCACGATTAGATCTTACATCCACAAACGCCCAAGCACATCAAGTTTCATAGTTAGTCACATTTATTTATTACATAGTCTATATACAGTATAGAGCACACTGCATTCGCACACTGGGTTCCCCATACAGAAATATTGATTTGAAATATACATACAGGATACACACATCTATTTACATACAACATGCCTCAATTTCAGCTAAGCTTATTAATTAAAAACAAACTATTTTTCCTCGTTCTCACTTACTGTTTTTCTTTCTTCTCCCATTTCCTTCCCTTCCTCTAGATTTTCTCTCTCTTCTTACTGACCAGGACTCATCTAAAAGTCACCCCCACAGCGTGGGCACTCACCGGCTGGTTGGCTTCTGCTCTTCAAACATCGGCCTCATTGTTGCCTGCTCTGGGCCCCAGTGTGGTCAGGGGCTGCCGCTTTTCCCCGCTTGCCCTTCTCCAAGCCACCAGCTACTGGCCCCAGTTGTGTTCAAGCGAGGCTTCAGTGCAGGGAATGGCAAAAGGCTGCAAGAGAAGGCAGGGTTTTCCTTCTTTCTGTTTAGGATTGGGGGTGGGGTGTGGAGCAGTTTTGCTTTCTCAGGACAAACTGACCCCCACTGAAGCAACCCCTCTATTAAGTGTCTTTGGAAGCTGGAGTCCAGGGGCCACAATCCTGCCTGCTATCCTCCTTGATAATGGGTGCTGTTGTCTGTGGAGAAAACAAGATTTTTTGGTGGGAGGGGGTCCACAGGCTCTCAGCTGACCCTTTAATCATTTGCCTGAGCTGGAGTTGAACTCCAGTTTGGGGCAGTAATGCTTTCTAGAAAGCCTGACTAGAGTGAGACTCCTTGCTTGGCGCATCCACCTGGAGGGCAGAGCTGGGATGCAGACTACAGGCTTTAGGGGCCCGTTCATTCTCTTTCCTCTGGAGTCACTGCTCCCTGAGAAGACCAGGATCTCCAAAATCTGTCATTTTAAAATTGTCTCCACTCTCCAGCTTCTTCGTGAGCAAAGGCTAAGTTCCGGTCTCAGAAGAGAGGCCTGAGTCCCCTCCTTACCGAGCACTCAGGAACCACCAGGGAATAGGGGCAACTCCTCAGGCAGACAGCAACCCACAAACCTGAATCTTGTCTGCCGGGAGAATTCACCCTAGTAGAGCACAAGCCATCAGCCCAAATGTCCTTCTTCCTCTAACTTCTTCCCTAAACTGAGTGGCCCTCTTGACTCCTCTCTTGTTGCATAGAGGCAGCTGCAAAGTCAGGGCAGGCGAAGGAAGGGGAACCAGGAAGAAGGCAGTCAGAGCCTAGCGCCTGCTTTGCTTGGGTCTTAAGGACAGCCCAGCGCTGTGACTTTTCCATAAATAAAAAAGCCCCACTCCATAGTACACATGTCCTTTTAGGCCCTAATTTATATACTACAGAAATCATATACTCAGCCCGCCATGCTTCATAACGTCGTTATTTATGGTGGGGGAGGGAACCTTTTTTTTTCCTGAAGAGTATATTTATGACAGGTAAAGCCGACAGCAGACTTCATAGGGCTGGCAAATTGAGAACAGGTGCTTTGCCTTAACTGTGATTCATTCGCTCAGCGCCCAGCTCTTTCGCTGTTGAGTCCAGGGAGCTCCCTGGACTTTCCCAAGCGTCCAACCGCTACTTGGAAGAATTTGCATCGGATTTTTGTTTCCCCACTTGGGTCCTATGGAAAAAGCAGATCTTCACGCTGTTTGGTTCCAGATCTGCCAGGCTGTCACCCTCGGAGAGTGAGGGTGGGAAAGGAGGGGGCCAGCTGGGCGCCGGCATTGATCTTTAAAAAATCATTTTGAAATAGCCATAATGTGAAGAAATATGGCGCTTCACCCTCGTATTTCACATGTAATGACACGAGATGGCTTCATCTGGAAAGAAAAGCGAGTGGGAGTGTGTGTCCGTGTGGGAGGTGATCTGCCTTCCACAAGGCAGAGGGGTAGGTGGCCAAAAAGATACAACCCCAAGTTACAGTGGCCCCGCTTTTGCTAAAAGGACCGCACTGAGGGCAGTCTGCCTTATTAGGACTCAGAATCAGAGAGTTGTGGAGAAATCTACCCCAATCTGCGTCTGAGCCCAAACCGAGGAGAACTGGGTGTGCCCAAGGGTCGCACCTCCCCAAGTGTCAGGAGAGGCGACTGCACCTAGGGCCGAAGGTGAGGACCAAAGGCTGGGAGAGGAGCCAGGAAGCCAGTCGGTGGACCGGGAGGAGTCCCCGTGCAGGGCCACAGAGTAGATATATTTTAAAAAGGCTACTTGGTAGCTCCAATGAGGGGTTCTGCGGGGAGTAAGGCAGTGAGGGGAAGAGACTGACCCTGGGCTTGCTGATCACACTGGCTCCTATATCGGTGTTTGGAAATCTCCAGGGCAGGAGCCCCGAGTGAAAGGAGCAGGACAGGAGGGCTGAAAACTCAGCCCAGGCTCCTTCCTCTCTGGACACAAGGGGAGATGACATGGAACCCCTTCACTTGTTGGCTGGGGATCTTTCCCCAGGCCTCTGCTCTGGTGACAGCTCAGGGAAGTGTCCTTAACCCTTTCTCTTGTTCAGCTCCCTCACCTGGGCAATTTTAGGGGCCTGGATAATTATTCAGTGGAGAAAAGGAGAAATGGCTCTCCCCGCCCTCCTCCCACCTCAAATCCATCCTCTGGCCAGAGTCAGAGAAAGGCCCAATAAATGTAAAGGCGCTCTGTTTCCTTGTATTAAACTCTTTCCTAGGCTCTCGTTTCCAGGGCCTGCTGGATCCCTTTAACCTCAGGCAGGTTCTAATTTCAGGACAAATAGTGGATTCTTGGACACTCAGCCGTTTTATTCCCCTCTGCCCGCCTCCCTCGGCTACTGAGGGGTCCAGGGAGGTTCCCAGTCTTGTGAATCTCTATAAAGAGTGCACCGAAAGCCCCCTCCAAAGCGGACAACGTCCTAAAATCCCCAACTTCTCCCCTCATCCTTTTACTTCATCTCCTGTGGATTGCTGCTGCTGTTGTTATTTAATAAACATCTTCTGTCAAGGGGACAGAGAAGAGGAAATGAGGGCCTGCGGGGTGGAGGTGGAGGTATGTGTAGGGGGACAGGACCACCTCCTCTTTCAGTATCCTCTCGGGCCTTTCTGACTGCTCCCCGGGCTGGGCTCTCTCCCTCCCTCCGCCCTTTCTCTCCCTCCCTCCCCGACCCGCCTAGGGAGAGGGCTCTACAGCCTGCGTCCCTCCCGAGGCAGCCCGCCGCTTCCCTCCGCCTCTCCTCCGCCCCCGCCGCCCCACGTCGAGAACTGCCCCCCTTCCTGCAGCGGGAAGCGGGGGGGGGCGGGGGGGACCGGGCGGCCGGCAGCTCCGGGTGAGGTTACGTGGCCGCCGGAGCCCTGACGTGATAGCACATTGCATCAGCATAAAACAATCCATCCTCGATATGGAATGCGGTGCGGACGGATGACAGCGAGAGCGCAGCCCCCTCGCCCGATTGATTTATGTCGGAGCTGACGCTTTATCAGGCAGTCGGAAAAACTTTGACCAATCATTTTGCAAGGAGCGCTGAGCCGGGCTGCTCCACTGTACTTTGTTGGCTGAGAAGTTGAGCAGGGGGTGGGGGTGGGAGGGTGGGGGGCTGGGGGGGTCGCGTCCGAAAGCCCTCACACCGGTCCGGGTGCCACCTCTCCCTGCTTGGGCGCCGCCGCGCGAGCGCTTCCCTTCCCCCTGTGAGCGCCCGGATAATGTCTGAGAATGTCCATTTCTGGGACGCTTAGCAGCTATTATGTCGACTCGATAATAAGTCACGAGAGTGAGGACGCGCCTCCAGCCAAGTTTCCTTCTGGCCAGTACGCGAGCCCGCGGCAGCCGGGCCACGCGGAGCACCTGGAGTTCCCCTCGTGCAGCTTCCAGCCCAAAGCGCCGGTGTTCGGCGCCTCCTGGGCGCCGCTGAGCCCGCACGCGTCCGGGAGCCTGCCGTCCGTCTACCACCCCTACATCCAGCCCCAGGGCGTCCCGCCGGCCGAGAGCAGGTACCTCCGCACCTGGCTAGAGCCGGCGCCGCGCGGGGAAGCGGCCCCGGGGCAGGGCCAGGCGGCGGTGAAGGCGGAGCCGCTGCTGGGCGCGCCTGGGGAGCTGCTCAAACAGGGCACGCCCGAGTACAGTTTGGAAACTTCGGCGGGCAGGGAGGCCGTGCTGTCTAATCAAAGACCCGGCTACGGGGACAATAAAATTTGCGAAGGAAGCGAGGACAAAGAGAGGCCGGATCAAAGTAAGTTATAAAAAGTGAGGAAATACCGAGGCCGAAGGCCAGGAGGGGGGCGGGGAGGGGAAAGGCAATAAACTGCGGACAATGTGAAGGGAAGCTGCGGCAGTGGTCGGAGAGCGGGCAGGGAGGAGGGGAGAGTAGGGAAAGACGGAGGGAAGGGGAAAGCTGCGTGCTCTAGAAGGAGAGACTGAGGCCGCCAGAGGAGCATCGCCCCTACTTCTCCAAGTCCTGAGGGGAACAGGGGTTCGGGGATCGACTTGCAGCTCTCTCGGCCCCCTTTCCCCCAGTCTCCGGGAGGCCTGAAAGAAAGCCTGGCCAGAGACCGGCGACGGCCGGGAGAGGAGCTGGTGGAGCCCGGGGCCGGTGGCCAGCGAGGCCGGGAGCCGGCGAGGCCAAGGGCCGGAGCCCACTGGGCTGCCCGGGACCGTGCGGCTGGCAGAGCTCCCCGCGCCACGCGCAGACCGTAAAAGCCGGCCAAGGGGAAGGGGGAGGGGGCTCATTAGGATTTTATTTGCGATGCAACAGCTTGGCGGAGGATTGTTCCTAGCAGATCTCGCGCTGTAGCCGCGCAGAGTCCGCAGCCTGCGCCGGGAGGGGCGGGGGAAGCCCAGGACGCGGTGACTGAGCCCCCTCCCCGATGCGCCTGCCCCTCCCCGGGAGCCTTCCCTCCGGTGGCCCCTCTCCTCCTCGGCGTCCTTGTCGGGGCTGCAGTTTCCGTTTCTGCCGTCCCCCGCCGCTCTCCGCGGGGCTCCGTAGCCCCAGCCCAGGTTGTCAGCCTCTCCGGGAGTCGGGGAATCGCTTCTGAATACTGGGGCATCCCGAAGGGACCCGGGGGAAAGGAGGGGTGGGGGAAAGAGAGGGTTGCGGAGAGGCAGAGAACTTTACCGTTTGTGGGTAGTTTCCTATCACCTCCCACTCCTCAAAAGCACCCCGGCCGGAAAGCCAAGTCTGGCTGATTTCTAGGAGGTGCTACTAGGTGAGAAGACAGGGTTCTCCTATTATTTATTTTTAAGGTTGAGAAGGGCACATCGGTGAGGGAACTCTCAGTCCCAAACAATGACTCGCAGGCTAGTGAATCAGGTCCTCATCTTTTTGAGAAATTATAGTCTCTCCTTGTCCTGCTAAATTTCCCATTGACCGAGTGGCCCCAAGGCCCTTTAGAGCATCCTTGCCTGCTGGAGAGTAAAGAGCTGCCCCATTCCCTGCAGGGTCCTGTCACTTCCAACCTGCCAGGTTGAATCCTAAGAGCTGGCATTTGGGGAACACATTCTTCCCCAACCCTCCCCACACTCCCAAACAGACACTCCCCCACCCCAAACCCCCAATCTCTTCCTGAAAAGCCCATTATTGCAAGGCAGCCTTTTGGCTAGGATCAATTATTAACAGTTTCTCCCTCTTTCATATTTAATGCGGCTGCGGGTCCCAACCCAGGCAAGCACATTAAGGATATAGTGCTGCAAATTGGTAAGACACGGTTACTTAGCGTACGTAGGAGGAACCAAATTTTTTATATTAAAAAAATCCACCATTTTTCATTTGGGGACAAGGAAGCTAGTAGCTGGTGGCTGCTATTTTTAATTGGCTTAGCTTTATTTGGCAACTTTTTTGAGTTCCAGAGTGAGGGGAGAGAGGGTAAGAAGAGAGGCCTGTTTATATTTTTGTTTCTTCTCTTCCACTCAGTTACCATCTTCTCCCCTTCACCCTTTCCCCCACATAGGACCAGTTAAGGCTAGGTGTGCTTCCTGTTACCTCCACATCACTCCTGGCTCCCCACTTTGGGACTGGAGCAATTTTTCTCCCCAATTTCCCTGAACTTGTGTTAACCAAACTGTGAGCTGAGGAGGAGCTGAAAAGGAGAGAGACTATTGCAACCATAAGTTATCTGTGAGCCCCCGGCGCTCCCCTGTCCAAAGGCTGGAGTTGATAAATGGTTGCAATTGCATTGCATGTGAATTGGAGTGTGCTGGCTGTTTGCGGCTCTAAGTGCAGACCCATATTTGTGGTGTGTAGTGGTGGCAGAGGGGGAGATTTCTACGCAGACACTCATGCCTGCTGCCATGTGGTCTAGAGACACAAGCTTGTGATCAAGGCATGGTGTACTGGGACTGAACTCAAGGGCTGAAAGGTCTCTTGGGGTGAAGTGACACCCCAAATGCAGTGATTGGACAGACCTCTCACTTCCCCGCCCAACTCCTCCTCTCACCTCCTAGAGCCAGGGCCCTTCAGGTCAGCCACCCACCCCTAGCCAGCCTGGGGGTGCTGCTGGTGGGGCCTCAGCCATGCTGAACTCTGACCTGAGTCCTAAGCAGTTTGGACCCAAGTGGAGAAAAATTGAGAGGGAACTTGATGTACGCAGAGCTTTGGAAGTGCTGAGGAAGGCTAAGCACACGTTTGGCTCCATCCTTTCCACACAGCCTCCCATCTAGGGGTGCCTACAGCAATGGCTGGCCCACCTGTGTCACCCTCTCCAGGAGTTTCAAGGCCCAGGTGCTTTTTCTCCAATGCAAGATGGGGAGTGGAGACCAGGGGTGTGCTGTCTTGGTCTGGGGCCCTTCACCCTCTTCCTTTCTGTGATTCTATCACTGCTTCTCTTTCAGCCAACCCCTCCGCCAACTGGCTGCACGCTCGCTCTTCCAGGAAAAAGCGCTGCCCCTACACCAAATACCAGACGCTGGAGCTAGAGAAGGAGTTTCTGTTCAATATGTACCTCACCAGGGACCGTAGGCACGAAGTGGCCAGACTCCTCAATCTGAGTGAGAGACAAGTCAAAATCTGGTTTCAGAACCGGCGGATGAAAATGAAGAAAATGAATAAGGAGCAGGGCAAAGAGTAAAGATTACCCCCACTCCTCCCCAGCTCTTCCCCATCTCACTCTTATTTATGTGACGACTGTAAAGCCAGTGCTGTCTGGAATGTATTCAAGTGAATGGGGAAGGGAGTCTCTCTTCCAAGTCCTTTATCTGCACCTAGAGCCTCTCTTCTTTCCTTTGCCCTTACCTGTCTGTCTCTTCTCCCTGGGTGTCAGGAGAAAGTTTTGTTGATTTAGAAGATAGAAGTAGATGGTTCCTAAGAAGGTGATGGGCCCCAAGGAAAGAGACCATAGTCAAGCTCCTAGTATGCCCCGTAATTTTTCTGGGAAGTCCTAGCCTCTCACTTCCAGCTTGCCTGTTTCTTCTCTACACCCATCCAAAAGTCACCCAGGGACACTCGAAATCCACACAGCCCAGCAGACACCCACACACATACAGCCTGGAGTCCGCAGTGATAATGGGGTGAGCTCACAGCCACCATTCAGTCAAGTGCAGTGGCGCTCCAGATGCAGACCATCGCACACCAAATTTGGCAGAACAGCCCTCAGACCATTAGGCAAGCCCGGGTTCTACCCCTGATGCAGATACACACCGGGGAGGTGTCTAGACGCAGACTCCTGAATGAGGGGTTGCAGCCCCAAGGTCGCAGTATTGCCATACCGTCCCCATGGAGTTTCCAACTATTCCCAGGCCAAGGGCCACGGGGAAGATAGGGCAAACGTAGCCCCCAAGCTGGTGGTCTAGAAAGTACAAGAAAAGGCAGCACATGGTTTTATGAAGGTATCTTAGGTGGAGCTACTCCCCACCTCCCACCAACATACACATTTTGTTGCAGGAAATGTCTAATTCTGCATGTTTCCCTCTCCTTCCAACAAAAGGAGGTCAAACTGTGGGTCGTAGAGCCTTGACAATGTCGTTCTCCTGTTCATCTGTGCACCGCTTGACAGACTGCAGCTTCTCTTGCTCTCGACTGGCCCTGCATTCTTCCGCATCCTCCCTAGCTCTGAAATCAACTCTCTTCGGTGGAATCCACCTTGCACCCGAGAGTCAAGCCGTTCCTTGTAGAAAAACCCCTCCACCCTCCATCCCCCCCTAGGTCAACCCCACTGTAGACAGGAAAGCCAGGTCAGCAGAGTCCGAATGAGAATTTATTGTGAATCGATTCCCAAGCTCCCTTCCAGGACTGGTGGTCTGGGACAGGGAGGAGCAATCAGCGCGCAAAGCCCTGCGCGTTCCTCCGCATCCCACCGGCTTCTCGACCCACGCGGAGGAGTCCCAGGCTTGGCGGCTGCAGCCCCAGCGTCAAAGGAGACCGGGCCCAGCGCTGGGCTTTGCCTCCAGCTTCGTGGGCCTGGATGCGGATCTGCACGGCTGGTGCGTGCACGCGCTTCTGGGGAACAGTACCGCGTGCAAAGCAAAGAGGCAAAATCGCACCTAAGCATCAGATGGAAGCTTACTCTCTGCTTCCCCTCCTCCTCCTTCTTCCCTTCCTCTCAGTCCCCTCCAATTCGTGGACTCTTGCTCCTGCTTCTCCCGATCCTGCAAGGGGACATTCCAGTAGAAGTTTTTTGCTTTGTCGGTGGCTGTCGTGAAATTGTGCTTGTGTTTCGTGATTTCTTTGGGGGTGATTGTCTCGCCTGTTTTCAGTTGTCGATTATATGGGAGGGTTTTGGGTGGGTGTGGGGAGGGTGAGGGGCCTAGAGCTCTAATTGTTTGTTTTGGAACAAAAAGAAAAGGAACAAAAAATATATATCACCCTAGAAAATAAATCTCTCCTGTGTCTTATTCTGTGTTGGCTCTCTGGGCCCGACCATAGGTAGAGATCCCAGTTGTCAGGAGAAAGGCTTGGGGAAAAAGATGGCTGAGCCCAGGAGGTGTCTCCTTATACCCTGCAGAGCAAGGTTCCCTGCAGAGCTGTCTAAAGGTGGGGCTGAAAACCAGTCTCAGACGCTAGATCCCAAGGCTACTAGTTAAACTGATCAAGAGCTTTCCAACAGGACAACTGGAAGACTGGAGGAGGGAGGGAAGGAAATACGGGTTGTTTGGAGAGGGGACAGGTCTGGGGAGCAATGCGGTCCTGGGTCTTCCTCACTGCCTTGAGAATAGGAGGGAAGGCAGGTCTTCTTGCATCTCCTGGGGATAGTTCTCCTCCCTTAGCCACTGAGAATGTCACCTTTCTTTCGCCACTTTAAAATATGATGCAAGGGAGGAACACAGTAATTTCCCTCTGTTCTTCCTGCAGCAGGGTGCCTAGGTATAGACCGAGGCCTCCAAAGGGCTGGAATCTCCTTCCTTCCATTCAAAGGAAGGGTTAGAGTTCTCGGCCCCCAGTTGGGTTTGGGGGCTCCAGTTTGAGCCACAGGGCAGCAGCTTTGGTCTGAGATGGGCTGGGTTTGTTAGAGGTTGAGCCCTGGGTAAGCACCTCTGCAAAGGCTGGAGAGGGCATTGAGTGGGAAGCAGAAATGTCTCAGTAGAAAATTTCCCTTCCCAAAAGGACCCCAGAATTAAACTCAGTTTCAAGAAGCACCTTTGTGTCCCTCTCAGACTGAGGCGTTTCACCAGAGCCTCTTGTGAAGACTGCAGTTCTTGGCAGCCTGCGCTTCTCACCCAGGCCTTGGGATTCCGCTTCGGCCGGGAAGGCGCTTCCGAGCTGGCCTCCCGCAGGAGCCTCCCCCCAACCCAAGCCGGCAACACCGCTGCTAGCGGAGACCTTGCAGGTTGGGGTAGAGTTGGAAACAAAGCATGGCCTCAGTGAAGGAAGCCTGCAAGTGAAAAGGCCAGGCCTGCCCCCCTCCAGCGAAAGAACGAACTGATCCGAGAGACGGCGGGAGGCAGGAGGAAAGCGCAGCTCTGGTCAAGCGGGCCCGGACAGGCCCAAGGAGGGTTTCATTAGGGATACAAAATGAATCTGGCTTTACAGCTGGTGTAGACCAGGCTCCCGCCCCATCCTGGGCTTCCCAGGCCCAGCCGGTGCTGAGAGCAAACAGAGAAGGTCGGTTTCCGCCTAAAGAAAAGCAGAGTGAGGCTCGAACAGAGGGAAGTGCTGCGTGGTAGGGGCGAAGGCGCTCTGAGGGGCTTCCGCCAGCGGCGTCTGGGTCCCCAGCTGGGGTTGCCTCTTTAAAGACAAACAAAGGCGAAGATGCGGAGGCTCGGAAGCCGGAGATGGGGAAATCGGTTGTCATAAAAGAGAGAGGGATTCAGAGAGGGAGACCGCCAGAGTGCGAGGCAGAGAGAAGCCGGGAGAGGAATTCAATGCCGTGTGCGCAGCAATAAAAGAATATGACCGCTATAAAAGTTTATAGCGTATAAATTTCTGAAGGTTAAGAAACTAAACAGCAGCAAAGCAAACAGCGAGGGGAAACTTTCCGGAGCTGAGAGAGCCGCAGCTGGGCCGAGGCTCCGGGCCTGGCGGGGGCAGTGGGTGGGCCCTGGGGCAGGGGCTCGGGGCTTGGGGGGGGGTACCCAGAAGGCAGACAAGGGAGCAGCGGCGGGCACGGTGGTGGGGGGGGGGGGAAGAACACTTTGTTGTCGCAAATGCTTCAGAGATTGCAATTGGGGCTCTTGTCTTTGTTCTTCACACCCCCTTTAGAATCGGGCGTCGGAAACGAGGAGCCTCCTGGACACACAGACACACACACACACACACACACACACACACACACACACACACGCAGGTCCGGCGGGGCCAGACGTCTGGGCGCGGGCAGCCTCTTAATTCTTTTACAGTGTCATCCCATCCTCTCAGCCTCCTCTCCCCCGACAAAAAGCCCAATTGTTTCTCCTCAGAATTTGAAACAGTCTTGTGGAGTTTGAAAAGTGCTCGGTCTCCCTTTTTACGGGCCATAAACGGCGCGCTGCTTGGCGGTCTCCGCTAGAAATTAGGGTCAGGGGTGGGAGGTGTATGTAGAAAGAAAAAAAGATTTCTTTTTTTTTTCTCCCCCCTCCTGTGTTTTTTCTTTTTCTTTTAGCTTATCTACACAATTTCATGAGCCGTTTCCTGATTCTGATGCCTTTTTTCATGCTCTCTTCCCTATCTCTCCCCTTTTCCTGCTGGTTAGGAAAGTTTCTCTTGCCGCGGCTGATTTCCCTGAAAACTAGTGGAGCCGGTGGCAGCGGCGCCTTTTCGCAGAGTAGCCGCTAGATGGCACCCTTGCTCCATGCCAAAAATCCAGGGAGCGGCGGCTGCGGAGGTCTGCGCCCCGCACCGCGCCTAGGTCGGCCCTGAATCCAGGAACTGAGCGCTACCAAAAGTCATGAATAATTTGCACCTAATAAAAAAAATAGGGTTCGTATGGCCTTACCCCCATTTTATAGATTTCAGTTATAGTGGTGTTCCCCCCTCTCCTCCAATGGTCAATTTTCTGAATTTTCCCCACGAGGAGGGCTCAGTGCTTCTCACCCAGTTGCCGTATTCCGTGGGGCAACAAATGCATGAAAACGAAGAAAAATAGTAATAATAGGAACAATGAGTCCAAATCCAAAAGGAGAATTAATTCCAAAAAAAACCGAGATTTTCCGTGAAGGGAGGCGAAAGGAAAGTCCTCGGATTCGGGTGAGCAGGTCAGGTGAGAGGGGCGAGCCGGCAAAAGAAGGTGGGATGGAGAGGAAGCTGCCCTGAGGCGGGCTGCCCACCGGATGGAGAGCAAATCGCGTAAGCCAGCCAGGTACCCCCGAGTCTGGGAAGAAATGAAGCCATAGCTTTTGTGGGGATTCGGAGATACCCAAAGCCGGCGGGGCGGCTTCGCGCTGGCTCAGGCTCTGGACCCTTTGTATGAGTGCTGCGCTGGGCTGGGCGCGGGCAGGGCGACCTAGGCGCGGGGAAGGGGCTCCCCAGGGCAGCGGGGTGCGGAAGGCTCGGATGTCGCCTCTGGACGCTTTGCGCGACCCCAAAGAATGCGGGCTTCCCCATGGGCGCGAGGGCGGGTGCGGCGTCAGGACGCAGTTCTGTTTTCCCTGGGTTTCTCGGTTTCCAGGTGAGAGCTGCGGCTCCCCGCGCGCCACGGCCCTGGCGCAGGCAAACCTGGGGGTGCGGGTCCTTTCCTCATTGAGTAGCTGGAGGTCTGGCCTCTGAGCACTTTCGTTCTGAGACCCGCACCCTGGCTGTCCACAGCCCCTTGCATTCCAAATCTCCTATGTCCTCCCTGCCAAGCCAGATTCCTGCCTCCCATCCGACAAACCTGCGCCAGCAATAGATATTCCCACTCCCTCAAAATCACCCCGGCTGCAGCCTCTCCTCTCCCCCGCTAGGACCTGGTGCAAGGAGGCAAGCAGAGTTTCTCCTTAACTTGAGTTTCTCTAATAAATCTGCGCTCAGCTGGGTGTTTATAAATTGTCTCCTCGCTCCTTTTTTTTTTTTTTTTTTTTTTTTTTCTTATAATAGAAACATTTTCCTTCCATCAGGAATTCCTGGCACGATGTAGAGATGATTTAGAACAAGCCATTGAATTTGTACCTCACCGGTGAGTTCTCTAATAATGACCATAAAATCCTTCGCACTTGATAAAAATGTTTGCTTCGGCAACAACTTAACTCTGCCCTCCATTGCCTCACGGTCCCCTCAGCCACGCACTGAAAATTCAAAGCCCTAGTGCTCTCCCCGTCTCTTTTCATTTCTCTCTCTCCCCCTTGTAGCCTCTCTCTCATTCTCTGGGTTCACTTTTGAAGAACTAAATGACCCCACTGGTAAGGGTCCTGTGGAAAAGTGATAGTTTCATTTTTACAAATGTTGGAGTGTACGGGGTCCCCAAAATGTGCCCGTCTAAAAACAAACCACTGTCTCCTGAATGAACAATGGATTGAATGTATTTGTAAAGCCTCCACTTTTGTTGTTCAAAATTTTCATTCTCTCTTTCCTTTCCCTTACCAATCTACTGCTACAGGAGGCCATTGGTTCTGACCCTAAGACCAGCCTTCTAAAGCCTGGCCACCACCATCGTGAGGCCGGGTCAGCAGGGAAGGCAGTGGCCACAGAGTGTGGCACCCAGTCAGCTTATTCCAGCATTTTGCGTGCAGGCGTCTGGTCCCCAGGTCTGTAGGGAGAACCAAGCCAGGTTTAACTAGAGGCTCCCCAAGGGTAAAGGGGAGAAAATGGGGGACTCAGCAACCTTGTTCTATCTGAATCCCACACCCCGGTCAGTTTAGGTACTGACGGTGGCTCAAAAGGTCTTGGGGACACTGAGGACTAATAGATGTCCCCCAAACACATACTTTGCAGCCACTGCCTAGGGCAGCTGAGAGCATAAGACAGTGGGCACCAAGGCCAGGGGCCAGGGCCTGATATCCTGCCACAGCCTCCATCACCCTTCTTTCCTCTTGATGTGTTGATGGGCTTAGTGGTGCCCTCCCACCCTAGGGCACTGCAGAAGGTGTGGAGGTCGGCCTGAGAAGTTTGGGAGCTATTGATAACTGGGCTTGGCTACTTGGTCCTAAGGCCTGGGTGCAGGTGCGCAGCACCCCATTAGGGTTTCACCCCTCTGATGGCATCAGGCCCTCTCTTCTCATGCAAACTCTGCCCTCAAAAGTGCTGACTGGATGGAAGGAACTTCAGGAGACCCCCTTTTCAGCAAGCAGAGATTGCGTGAACCTGCAGAATGGGCAGTGGCAGGTCGAAGTTTGCTCTGTGCTTCAATCACTGCTCATTAACCAGAAAGTTTCTTCTTCCTTCCCGGTCCCTCCTCAAGATTTCCCAGACCCCTGCTCCACAGAAAAATCTTTGCTTATTTTTTAATGAGAGGAACTTGTGTGACTGACCAGGGCCGAGCAGAAAGGG